CCCCCGCTCGTGCTTGCTTGCTCTCTCTCAAATAAATAAATCTTTAAAAAATTTTTTTTTCACATGGAAAAGTAACACAAAAGAGACAAAGAAAAAAATGATTAGAGAAAAAGTATTTGAGATTACAATAATGAATAAAATTTGAAATTTAAAATGCACAGAAACAAAACAATGTGGTACCCTGAATTAGACTTGGAACAGAAAACGGACATTAGAAGAGAAACTGGTAACATCAGAATAAAGTGTTTAGTTAATTGTTTCGTGCTCCTGTTAATTTCTCAGTTTTGACAAATGTACTACGGTTATGTAAGACGGGACATTAGGGGACGCTAGGTAAAGGGGATTTGGGAACTCTCAGTACTATCTTTGCAACTGTTCTGTGTATTCAAAATTATTCCTAAATAAAATTTTTATCTAAAACTTTCATAGAAAAATATGCATCAAGGAAAAAACAGCCAAGAATGGACAGAAACAAGAGAGTTTCATGAAGCAACGTCCTGTCTCGATAATTTAAGGAGACATTCTAGAGAACACAGTAGCTCAGGTGCAAGAACAACTAGGCTGCATCTATTAAAATGACAAAACCTAGAGTAAAGCGGGCGGTGAACAAAGAGGTGTATTCTAGGACATTACTGGTGGAATTATGTGCTGCTGGATCCTTTCTGTAAAGCAGTTTTGCCACAGGTGACCGAGCCATACACCGACAGCCTCTGACCCAATAGTACCCGTCTTAGCAACCTACAAGGAGGAAAAAAGTCACCTAGTTTTATGAAGTTGTTGCTCCCATGGCCACTGGGTGCCTAGATGGATCACAGTGCTATTCATTAAATGCAGTAGTAAATATCAGTGGAGTTAAGAATGACAAATCTGAGAACTGTGGAAAGGAACATATGAAATAAGTTTTTTAAATATTTAATTAATTAATTTGTTTATTTATTTGAGAGAGAGCGAGCACAAGTGTAAATGGGGGGAGGAGCAGAGGAAGAGGGAGACTCCATGCTGAGCGTGGAGCCTGACACGGGGCTCGATCCCACAACCCTGAGATCATGACCTGAGCCAAAATCAAGAGTCGGACGCTCAATTGACTGAGACACCCAGGCACCATGACATATAGTATCCTAGATTGGGTCCCAGAACAAAAAAAAAGGATATTAGTGGGGAAAAAATGAAAAACTGAATAAGGTCTATAGTTAATATGGTATCAAGAGTCATTTATTAATTTTGATTATTGTACTCTGATTATGAAGATGTTATTAGGGAAAGCTAGGTGAAGTAGGTATATGGGAACTCAATCTCTGTGACTCTTCTGTAAATCTAGAATCATTTTAAAATAAAAAAAATGAAGACTGCAGAATTATACACAAACACACCCATCACTATCAACTACAAAAATAATTATTGTACAAAAAAGTAGGTAGGCTTGAAAAACATTTTCAGAGTTTTAAAAATACTTTGCTCTTGGGGCGCCTGGGTGGCTCAGATGGTTACGCGTCTGCCTTTGTTTCAGGTCATGATCTCCAGGTCCTGGGATAGAGCCTCATGTCCGGCTCCCAGCTCAGTGGGGAGTCTGCTTCTCCCTCTCCCTCTGCCTCTCCCCCTGCTTGTGCTCTGTCAAATAAATAAAATCTTTAAAAAGTAAAAAATAAAAATACTTTGCTCTTTGGGGAGGGGGTTAGGGAGGCGCATGCGTGCGTGAGTGCGTGTGTGTGCACGTGCGTGTGGGTGTGGTGGGGGTGGTGTGGTCATTTTATGTTTGCATCGCTATTTAGAGGTTTCACTGAACAACTGATTGTCAAGGTGCCCAGACTCACAGTGGCTGGAGAGGGTTTGCAACACCCACATCCTGATAGCCTGAAAATGATTTTAATTTTTTTAGCATGTTAAGTTTCACTTAGGAAGAAAGACATGTTCTATAATAACGTTTTAGTAATCAGCCCTTAGGGGTTATATTTATAATTCCATGGCACATGAAATTAATTATTTTCCTAAAGAAAGGATACTTTCTGCTTATCTGGGAGGCACTCAGTTTTCTAGTTTTTGGCAGATTGAAGGAATGTGAGGGGTCATCTAAAGAAATAACTTACTTCTACAAAAGAACTTGAACATCTAGAAAAATCCAGGTCTTGCCACTCCTCCCTTCTTAGGTGCTCTAGGTGACATCAAACAGGCATGAAGAGGGCAGGTGGTAAAGGACAGAGGGTGCGTGTGTGTTGTGGGGGGACTCCTCCAAAGTGACTTCACTGAAGTCAGTTCCAAGCTCACTGGCTTTTCCAAAATTGGTAAAGAATAATTTCATTTAGGGCTGCTGGATCACTAGAAAAACGGTTACACACCATCAGGACTGGGAGGCTTCTGCCTCATGCACATTGTGATTCATATGACATAGGGTTCTAAAACCCTCTGCCCTCTCACCGTGCTGCGGGGTCTTCAACAATGATAATGACAGCATGGGACCTTCAGAATCCAGGGCAGGCGGGGTGGGTTGCCAACATCTTTTCAGGATTCTGAGCTGTCCTAGGGATTTGTCCTATTCACCCTAAGAATCCTCGATGTAAATAATCACCAAGAGGCACAAAAATGAACCTGCAGGTCAATTTCCATAACTGTGCAGAGTCCTATGATCTGAAAAGCCGTATTTTTTTCTTTTCCCTAGTCCGATCTTTTCTTTTTTTTTACATTTAAAAAAATTATTTATTTATTTATTTGTCAGAGAGGGGAGAGGGACAGCACAAGCAGGGGGAGCGGCAGGCAGAGGGAGAGGCAGGGAGCCTGATGCGGGGCTCCATCCCAGGACCCTGGGATCATGACCTGAGCCGAAGGCAGACGCTTAACAGACTGAGCCACCCAGGCGTCGCGCTGGCCTGATCTTTTCTGACTCTTGTCTATTATCCCAGTACAGACAGATGCACTGATTATTTCTTTACATTTTCTGTGCCTTTCAAAAAAACGCATTTGTTCTCATAAGTTTTCCAAGACCTTCTACAAAACAAAGTAGGATATAAAATAAATAATACGATACATGTATTTTTTTGTTTAGAACTCAGTCCAGCTTCGGTAACTTATGGCAACACGGAACCTCCTTATTAACAGGGACAAATTCATAATAGGTGTTCAACAGACACGCGGGCACTAGCAAGGGGCAGGTAAAGAATTCAGCGAACAGGACCACTGAGAGGTAAAGAGAGAAAGCACAACTTGGGTCATATTTCAACCAGGCCTCCTGCTCCTGGTAACCAATTCCACCTCCCCTCTCGCCTCACCCCTCCCCGCCCAGTCTCATCAGCTTCACGCGGCCATCACCCCGCAGCCCTTTCCCCCTCCGCCTCCAGCCTCCGCCGATAACCCTTGTTAAGACACCTGGGCGCAGAGCAAATGAGTCCCAGCCCGCCTTCCTGTTCTACTGTACCCACTCCCTGCCATAAAACTTATCTTTAAAGGCCAGCACGTTAGCAGCCCACGGACCTATTCAGAATGCGCTGGCTTGGGGATGGCCTTCACCGTGTGAGGCTGTGCTGAGCACGTAGCCGGGCAGATAAGCGGCGGCGGGGTGGGGGGTGTTCAACTGCGAGCCCCGATTCCCACAGCCCTGATAACAGCATGGCAGTTTTTAGCCGAGGAGTCAAGGTTTTGAAACTGCATGGTGTTTCCCCATTTAACTACTACTAAGGGAACTTATTGGCTGTTTTATTCCCAGACATCGATGATCAGCTTCGGGAGTGAGAAAAAATATCGAGGACCAGCTACATAATTTGCAAATGGAAAGGTAATATGCAGAATGAAAATGCAGAGCCCCTGTTCAAAAGGCAGGGGAAAAATTGCCATAAAAAGGGCTGAAAGAAAATTGTTGCCTTTCTTCTGCAGTCTTCACTCATTATGGTGTGTTTTCCTTGGTATTTAAAGTCATGCTCTCTCGGGCACGGGACACCTACAGGGTAAGTGCAGACCTGCAGGGTAAGCGCAGACCCTCACAAATGCCCAGGGGCCCTGCCCGCTGCCAGGGACCAACACCTTCTGGGTTCTCCATCCCCTGAGCTGCTGTACTAACGCGCCCACGCCCTGGCCAGGAATGGGGAAACTGAGTCAGGAATACCCCTTTCCTGTGGACCCATCTCCCCTACTCTGAGGTGCAGCAGATGGGTGACCCTCAAGTATACCCCAACATCTGTGCCAGAACAGACCAGGAACCCGGATTGGGAGTGGGCTGAACTGCCCCCCACCAACACACCACTGTGCTGTCAGCCGGGGCTGGGTAGGCCACCACTTTGCCCTCTCTCGAGATGCCATGGGAGCACGTGTGTCCCAAGCCAACTCACCCCATGCTCCCAGTGAGGCCCCTACTGGCAGCAGTGACTGCTGGTTGGAGGCAGGGATGAGGATGTGTGGCAGGGCCTGAGGTGCCGAGGAGGAGGGGAACAAGCAGTCAAGAACCTCTCAGGGAGGTAGGGAGGTAGCAGGACTGTTCCTAAACCAAGGCTCCAGCTCCCTGGGGCATCGCCCCATTGGACGTCGCTTACAAAAACACAAATCCAAAGATAAGAGTATTAAGAATTTCAAGATGGCGACCACACCGCATGAAAGCCCAGGCATGGGACCCATCATAAATCAGGCCTGTGTTTGAGAGAGATGGTGCAGGTATGAGGCTGTTCTGGAAGAGGTGGGCGTGAGGAGCCTCGTACCACCTGTCGATGGCCCCTCCCGTTGCTCTGCAAGGCTTCTGAAGCCCACTCACTCGGACAATAATTGTAACTTATTACATTGTGCAAAGAACTGAGGTAGTGAGATATGGGCACAGTGTTGATGGTTATGGAAATCCTCCCAAACCTAACGTGGCCTAGGGATTTATTTCAAGTGTTGGGGAAGTTAGCAAAGAGAGAGGATGGAGGAATAATTCCTTAGTCAGTGGCTCTGGGTTGACAGTTTATAAAAACTGAGCCATTTCCAAAGCCATTACTTCGATGCAAGAACATAACCTGGCGGCTGAAAGCACGTTTCTTACAAACCTTGGCTTCTGGGTCACTATTGATACCGCAAGAATCGTCATCATCAGCATGTGGGGCATTTCTAGAAAGAAAAATGGAAAACTGGACTTAGAATTCTATTGTAAACTCTAGCTGCACGAAGCCACACATTATGGCAGGTCCTTCCCATGTCCTACCTGAGTTTCAAAGATGCATAGCGGAGTGTTGCTCCTTCAAACTCTTTTAAACTGGGGTCCGGGTTAACTGTGGCTGCATGCAAATCCTAGGGGAAAACAGATCCCTGTTAATGGAGAAAGGGGGGAGGGCCTCTGACTTGGCCTCAAATATCAAAGGGGAGAAAAGTCCTCCGGGCATGAGGCAGAGTGTATGTGAGCTTAGGCAGAAAAAGGGCATGCAAGGGCTGCTGGATGCTGGCTCAGCGCAAGCCCCGGGTTCTTACAAGAAACAGGGGACCTGGGGCAGTCAGCTTGAAGTCATTCACAACAGGACACATCACAAAAAAAAAAAAAAAAAAAAAGGCAACATGTGTGTGAGCTGGGCATCCCTAGCAAGCCCCATCACGGCATCCCTGCAGAATGGATGATATTCATGAAGAAGAAAAAGATACAGCCACAGCCATGCAGAAAGGACAAAATATTAAATGATCTAGAATCTGACAATATACTTGCCTTCCAAATGTCACTATTAATCTTTCCCCCATTCAGAACAGCAAAATCACTCCATGGCTGTTTCTAGACATATAATTATTCACATAGGAAAAAGCACATTCATTTAAAAGAAAAAAAAAGGAAAGAGGAAAAGAAAAACACAAGACACTGTTGTTAGCATTGATATTCACAGGACGGGTTAGGGAACAAATTCACTCTACCAGCAACTGGTTAGCTGGCTCTAGATCTAGATTATCACCTGAAGCCTAGGGCGGGAGGAGAAAGATGGTGCTCGCGTTACTTACCACAGAAATGACTGACCAGCGCTAGCAGTCAGTGTTAGATCTTCTAGACGTGGCCTTAAGCTCACAGATTAAATGCCTAGTGGACCTAATACCACGGGAAACTTTCTCTCCCGGTAACCAAACAGAACTGTCTTCTGGAGATGGGAGCAGAATTAGGGATGGTACCTGTCACTGTGAGGATTTGAAAACGGGGGAATGTCCCCGGTCAAGGGCATAAAAACTTGGGGCTCAAACTATTTTCATGTAAAAGAGAAAAGGACAAGGAAAGGGTAGGAGGGATAGTAAGGAACGCAGCCAGACGTCAACATCTGCCGAGATTTAACTGACCAAAAACAGCTCTCCACGGTCTAATGTAAAGTCTTCCAGTTCGTAAGAAGCTCTGCCTCCTTGCCACAGAAGCTTCTTCACAAATGAACGTTTGATCACGAAATGATTTTGTAAGCAGAATCCTAGAACAAAGCATGAAGCCTTGCCTTGTTGGGAGACCGCTCAGAATAGATCTTTGAATCTAAACAGCCCTTTCATTGCCCTCAGACAACAGGCAAGGTTGTTGGGTTTTTTTGTTTTTCCTTTCTACCACAGTGAGTGAATATCCAGATATTTTTCATGTAACATTTGGGGAAATAAATGAAGCAAACAAAACCCAGGGACATAGTTATGAATGCGTTCCACTGATGCGTCGGGCGAATCACCTCTTTCCTCGGATAATAAATCAACAGCGGAGACTTTTTGCTCCAGTCGCCTTTCAACTAAAGCGCTCTGAAAATGAGACGGGAATGGGGACCCATGATGTCTGCTCACGACATCAGTATAATTTTGAAACCCTCTCAGAGCAGAGGCAGAGAAGTTCAGATGTGCCGAGCGTTGAAGAGACAGGTGTTCCTTCAACTCGGCAGGACGTGACGAGCGCGGAGCCCCTGCAGATGTAGATCTCTCGTCACCACTGCAGAGCTGGTGTCAGTCGCTTTCCTTTTTGGACTAAGCACCCGAACTGCAGTTTTTCGAAATAAAGTGGAACTTACACCACTGTATCTACTTTTTAAAAAATAATCTCTTTTACTGAGTGGAAGAGCAGGAGTGCTGCCTAGCCCTTCGCCTCTATACTCCATCCCCGAAGCGGTGCTCAGTTTTCACCGGGGAGAAAATTCCTAACACAGGAGGGTCTTAACGTGTTAGCCCAGGAGAGCTGGGAGGCCCCCTGAAATCGGGGTGGGGTTTTGTGTGTGTGCGTTTTCCTGGGGAGAAGATCTCCCACTTTTCCCATATTTCCAGAGGGGCTGGTGACCAAGAAAAGTTTAGAATCACCCTTGTAGGGGGACTCATATGATAAGGACCTGAAATGTCAAGAATTTTAAGCTAGAATTTCTTTTTTTCTTTTTTAAAGGAAAATAAGCCTATTTGATCCCAAATCATCATCACAGTTTACATGTGAGCAATATTTGTTTTTTCATTGAACTTGAATGTTAAAAAAGGGTATCAGATGGTGAATTAGTAAGACTCCAGGTAATTATGTTCTCACAGAGCAATTAAAAAAAAAGAGTGGGTGTCTGACAAGAGGAATCTGAAATCAAATTATCCTCAACAGGCATGGTGTGGGGACAGGATAGAAAGAGTACTTTTTCAAAACAAGTATTCAGAAAAGTCTTCAGCATTTAATTAAAATAGTTCCCTGTATGCATGTATGGTTTAAAAAAATTTTTTTTAATGTATTTATGTTGGGTCCCTGTAATGTAAAAGTTGATTATAACTCTAAAATTCTATGAATCCTGCTCTTATGCTACGGAGACATGAGTCAGCTGGCAAACTTCCAACAATCACCTCTTACGGAGTTAAATAAACAAAGGTCGTATAAAGCAATTTTTCAAAAGCTAAAATAACATGGGGACTCTTAAAGAAACCCTTTAGTACAAAACTCAAGTATGGGCTAAGAGAACCTATGTTATGACTAGGACAAAAGATCCTTTTCCCTCCTATATCTAACAGCACTCATTTTTAGAAATTCTCTTTCCTATAGAAGTGACCATAATTTTTCTTTTTTAAAAATTAAGGGCAACAAAATCTGTCTTGCGTTTTAATAGCCACATATTCTATTCATCTAAATTTTTTTTTTTTAAGAAAAAAGAATACAACATTTTAGTTAATCTTTTTTTTTTTTTTTTTAAAGACAACCCAAAGAGATTGTTTGGTTCTACAGAAAGTCTGTAGTCTGCATGGCGGGAGTGAGAGATGAAAGAAGAGATGAGACAAAGAGAAAGACAGTGAGAGAGGGAAAGGCAGGTGGGCACGGGCCTCAGGAAGGACAAAGATGACGGACAGGGAAAAGGCTAGTCAAGGAAGAACAGAGACCGTGTTCCATGAGCGATGACCTCTCAACTGATAATCTTTCAGGCAATGCAGCTAAATCTTTGCACAATGGAATGTTCTGGGGCCAGAGTTACAGGTGGGGACATAGTCTCCTGGTGCTTTTCTTGACCTTGACCAGGTGAAGCACCCCTTCCCCTGATCAAAGTGATCACACTGAGTTCTGGGAGAGCCTTGGAGCCTTAGCTCCTCAGAGGTGGTGATGTCCCTGGGGAATGACCCAGCCCCTGGAGCATGGTGCCTATCATGACCCTTCATGACCTTTCAGCATGGTGCCCTTTGTGACCATACAGCAGAATCTGTGTGAGGGTGGACCCACTAAGGGAATCCAATTGTATAACCTTGACTATGGAGGGTTTTCTTCTTCCTTTTTTCTCTTCTGGGATCTCAGAAAGCAATTCTACAAATCAAATGAAAGTGATACATTGTCCTTCTGCTGAAAAAAAGCTAACACTGGAGTGGACGATGTCAACAGCAAGCTCTTGAGGATGGGTCCAGGGGGACGAGAAAGTTTCTAAGAAGTGATATCAAAATGTAACCTGGAGAGCAAGCGTGGAGGGTGAACCTGCTGAGAACCAGGCAGAGAGGAAAGCAAAAGAACGTCCCCTAGTGACTTTGACAGGAGCTACATCATCACCTCCACATGCGTGAACTTCAGAAGTTCTGCTGCAAAGCCCGGTTCAAATCCTGCTTCTGCTCTCATCTGCTCTGTGACCTCAGTTCCTTATCTAGAAACAGGGCTAAGAAGACCTCACCATCAGGGTGTGGACAAACAGATCAAGAGCGTTAGCCCTTAGCATAGGGACCGCCTGCCCGAAGGTGCCCAAGACATGGCAGTTCCCCTATCCTCCGCTCTCTCTTTCCAGGGAGGAAAAAAAGGCCATTGGTAAGAATAAAAAACTGGGGGACCTATGGACTATAAAGTGTTATGAATTATGCTTCTTAATCCTCTTCTGTCAAGACCTGAGCCTCGGTACATGTGGCCTTGATGATAAATGCAGAGCACCCAGAATCCTGGAACTCTAAGGAACAGGCCATGTGATGTTAATGTGCACTGAATCCATAGATGTGTGCACATTTTTAAACTTCTTTTTAAAATGCTTTCTGTGTTTTGGTGGATGGTTTGTCACGCAAACATAACCCAGAGAAGTAAAAAAAAAAAAAAAAAGAGTCAAACTAGTAAACAGATTGCCAAATACGTGTGCAATTAAATTCATCTCTGTGAGCCAGAGGAGGGTCAGGAGACCCAGGGCTCTGATGTCAACTAAGAACCTGCTCAGCTACGACACTGGTTTATTCCTTCATTCAGCAAACATGTAATGAGCTTCACCATGTACCGGACACGGTGCCAGGTGCTGGGGACACAAGATGAGGGGGGACAGGTCCTCACCCCCACTCCCCCCCCAGGGAGGGAGACTGACATGCCACAGTAATAATACTATAAAAAGACACTATGGAATAAAGGGCTTTGAAAGTGGAGGGATGAGAGCAGTAATTCCCAGGAGAAGCTGGGATGGGTCCAAAGAGGAAGTGAAATATAAACAAAGACAGGGATACTAGATTCATTAGAGGGCCAGCTCTTGTACTTACTCCACAGAGAATCACCTGGAAAGCTTATGGTAAGGGCAGATTTCCAGGTCCCACCCATAGAGAATCTAGCTTAGTGGCCTCGGGTAGGGACCAAGGAATCAAAATATTCTACATGCCTCAGAGCTCACCTTGGCCACCGGCCTTGGCTCACAGGCTGAGAAACACTGCCATAGCATTCACTAGGCCCTTCTTGAAGGTTCTCGCCAGTCATGATTACTTGATTGGGTCAAGAGTTCAGAAAAAAGATGACAGAATAGCTCCTTTGTGTTTTCATCTTATTTCTAAATGTATATGAAACTCCACAGGTTCTAATGTAATACACGGAATTTCCCCTCCCAGGGAGTTAGCGGCTCAGGGCCCTGACAGACCCCAGCAGCAATATAGGAAGAACAGAGTGAATTATGATCCAGATCACAGTTCTGAGAAACAATTCCTCATCCCCTTGCTCCAGACGCACTCTCTCCTCCATACTTCTCTTCTTAAGGAACTGGGAAACACCTTCAGTTGGAAACATTGTAAGACAAGACTTGCCTACAGGCCAACAGTGATTCATAAAAATACTTAGTGTGGCTCCTTTCTTCTAAAATTCGACATCCAAGTAATTTGGAACAAATCGATGGATTGGGGAGGGGAGGGGGAGATCACTATGCGCCCAATTTCAATAGCAAATGCTTCCTGGCCAGTTTATAAACTTTAGAAAATACTGCTGGCGTGCACAGAGGAAACATTACCCACTGCGCTTAGCACTTCCCCAGTGAGCTCTGGGATGTGAAATGTAAAAATTTAAAACTGTAAGGAAGCTTTCAGTACAAAACTTTTGTGAAGCAGAGTCAACAGATTTGGGGTTTTTTTTTTTCCCCCTAAACGATCTCGGGGAAAAGCTGAATAAAGTATGCATTTCTAACATCACATATTACAAGTTTCTTCTCGTCCTTAACATTTTGCTTTCTCTCATGGTTCCAAACTAGTATGAAACAGATTCTATAGAGATCAAAGAAATGGTGTCAGGGAAATAATCATTTCTCTTCCACTGTCATTAGCACCTGAGAAAATGTTATCAAGAGAAGTCATTTTCTAGAAGGCTCTGCATAGGACACCGCCTGCCCTTGGGTTGAGATGAAGAGCTGTGAGACTCGCCAAGCCCCCCAATAAACAGAACCGTAAAACCCGGGGTGGGGTGGGGGTCAGCAGACCTTCACTGAAGCATAGGTGTGTGACCTCGAGCAAGCTTCACCTCTCAGTCTTAGTGTTGTCAAATGTAAAAAGCAAACGACAACGATAGTACTGATGCGTAGGGTTCTATCAGGAGTCATGGGATAAGGCACGAGCTTGACACCATAAACACTCCATTACCTTTGGTGCCTCTGGTTTAATATCCATGTCAGCGTCTAAACGTCCTGGGTATACATACGGCAGGCTGGGTCTTACCCCAACCCCCCGTCCTCTTCTCTCTACCTGCTCATACGTTTGCTTCTAGGATTTTAACATACTGCCTTAAATGTGCTCGGTTCTTGGACATAATGGCCTATGTACACGGGGAAAATGCGTATGAAGTGAACAATCAAAAGGCTGATCGGAAGAACATCTAGTCCATTGGTCTATTGAAGTGCTGGATAGGAGTGGCGCTCTCTCTCTCTCCCTGAAACTTAAAATGACACATCCTTTAACAAAGTTCCTTGGAGGGATAAGGGTCAACACAATGGCATGGTCAATAGCAGAAAAGAGGCACGAGACAGACAGCAAGGTAGGAATTCACACAGTACCAGGGGGCAGAGCATAGGGTCCAGAGTCTGAGAACTAGACACCAGCTGCACGGTTACTGAACTCACTGAGCTTTAGTTAACTCTTTTCTTAAGTAAGGAACATATCAGCTGTCCTCTCTGTCTTGAAGGGAACAAATGAGATGACATTTATGAAAATACACTAAAAGCCACACTAAATCATGAATGGCAGCAGGGACCCTGAGCGCTGTGGATACATTAGGGGAACATTGAACCCACGGAGAGGAAGCAGGAAGCGAGGGCCATGGGACACAATCTGAGCCTGGGAAGGGGCCCTGAGAGGTAGCTAGGACAGGAACGGGAGGCAGGTGTAGAGAAGGGGAAGAATAGGCCCACGTGGGCATCAGGAGGAGGCTCAGGGATTACAGGTGGACTCTGCTGCCTGACCATCGTCCCCAGGGCCAGCTGCCTACCTGTGATGCATTCTTCCCAAGATTTTCTTCAGAAAACATGGAAATGAAAACCTGCCATATTCATCAAAGAAATAAAAATCCGAGTCCCATAAACCTTGGGCTGCCCTCCTTGGACTTTACCACACCCACACCTCGGCCTCAGGAGGCAGGCTTTAAGAAGAACTTCATTTCTTCTACATACAGAGGACAAGAGGTTCCCAGGACAAAAGCGACATCTCAAAGAGAGTCTGATCTAACTTCTGGGACAATGAGAAAGCACAGTAGGCTGGAATCTCAAAGCCAGGGAAGTGGAGTGAGAACAACCCTGGCCTAAGATTCAGGAGCATTCAGGATCTCTGAGTTCTAGACCCAGCGGTGTCACCGGTCACCGTCCTGTCTGTGCCTCAGTTTCCCTGTCTGTAATGTAGGGATACTGGGATCAGCTGACCCTTTCCCATCCTAGCATTCCCTGGTTGTAGGATACTCCCATGTGAAGATGGTTGAAGGGTTAAAATAGGGGAATGAAGCCCTGGAATGGAGAAAGAGAGTCTAACAAAGATGCCAAGAGAAAGGATGTACAGGTGAGAAAAAGAGCAGAGGTGGTGTCCTGGCTGGCTCAGCTTCTGGGAGGCTACTCGGAGGTCCAGGGCATAATGCCAAGACACAGTTAGGCTGGGATGGGAGGACTCCATGTCATGCTAAGCTCCTTGAGGTTCATCTTTGTCCCCCAGAGCACCTAACAAAATGAGTAACTGAACGGAATTTGCTCAGCGAAGAGGAACATGATACTTCAATAAAAAGTTACCAAAGCTGCCCAGTGATAAGCAACAAAATCCTATGTGGTTCAGCAATAGGGAAATATGTGCCTGATTATCAGGCTCATGTGCCAACCAACCAAGGCTCACCCCAACCCCTCACTTGAAAGACGGAGAATCTGAGGCCCAGGCTGGGGAAGGGAGATGCTGAAGCCCTGTACTAGGAGGAATGGGCTTGGAATGTAGGTCTTCCTGCCTCCCAGAGAAGAGCAAGTCAATAAGCCCGGATGTAAGAAACAAGATACTGTCTCCTTTCAAAGCCAGGAAGGCTGAGAACGGTTGCAAGAACGCGGAGGAGTTCTGCCGGGGAGAGACCCAGTTTAGATCCCCTCCAAGGCCTCAAGGTCAAAGAACATAGGTTGTTGAAGGAACAAAAGACTGTGGTCACATAGGCAGATGTGCCTGTGTTAGCATTCCAACTACTTTTCTGGAAAAAGCCATCGCTTAATTGTGACCTTTTCCAACGGCCACACTCTTGAATATTTTGTTATCGGGATTCACAAAGGTTCGCCGCAAGAATCTCTGTACTAATAAATACCACAGTGGAATTTTTTTTCATGCCTCAATTCTTTGTTTAAACATCACATTTCCTCCTTGGGGATAGCAGAAATTTATGCTGCTATTTATGTCTAAAATCATGTCACTTCTGCGAAATAAACAGATCCTTTAAAAAATATATAGAAATAACGCACTGAAGGGCTCTCAAGGGTTATTCTTGCAGACATCCCCTCCATGCAGTCAAATGGACCCAAGGCTAATAAGAGATGCAGTAATTATAACACTTCTGGCCAAGAGACATTCTTCTGTGTGTAAATATTTTATGGAGCAGCACCATGCGAGGGCACCTGCAGAGTAAAATATCGGTTCAGTGAGCCCCAGGGAATCTTAACCACTTCTCATTAATCAGCCTCCCTTACTTTCTATACCTAGAATGCGGTTTTCAAGAGACCAAAAGCCACGAAAAAATGAAAACACCCCTGAACGATGGTATTAACGCTATTTACACTAAGAGGAAACATTTTTGGGTTTCAAATGCATCATGCATGATCATCAAAAAACTTACCTTGATGACCTGTTGGGGCAGAAGCAACAAGTCTAAAGAGAAATCACAAGTCACATCCACTCTACTAAGCTGTTAAAAAGATACTCCATTTTACCTCGTGCTCTGGGGTGGGAGATGGCGTTATAGAACTAAGTGACCCTTTCCTAGAACCATGAAGATCGGCTGGGATGGAGATGGGGCGTTCCCACTGAGTCGTCCCTGTGGGTATGTGCCAATAATAGGTCCCAGCGATGTCGTTGATTCTCTTCCAGCCAGGCGGCAAATCTGGATCAGTCTGAAAGGAGTGATCACTCCATATATCTGCTGGGAAATGGAAAACAAGAGGGTTTTCTTAAAAGAGGAAACAATTAAAGTGTTCCATTTTTGGCACTAACAGTCCGGAGAATTCCATAGGCAGATATATCTGTAGCACTACTGAGAACTAACGCCATCCTGTGGACACAAAGTATGGTAAAGGGGACAATATGGAAAGAAATAAGAGAACTGGAAAGGAAGACTGACACTTGAGAATACAGACATAAAGGACCCATGATCACGTCATCTTACAGGTTCAAGAACACGATGAACAAGCTAAAGCTCCATTAGCCAAAATCAACTACCCAAGCAAAATTTGCAAGGTTACACACAAAATCTACTGACTCCTTTACAAATCAGTAAGACTTACCGGTTGGCATCTTATACCATTCTCAGCAATGAGTATAACTCTCATTTTTTTTAAACCACTTCCTGTAAATGAGTACTGTATTTATATCTTCTTCCCTTTGCTTTCACAACTCCTCCCATTTGACTGTAAACATCTACAAAGCAGTGATGTCTTTTGTAATACTCTAGAATTCTAAATTGTACACAGAAGATTCCTAAGGAAGGCAGACCAGAAAAGCCTTGGAATTCAAGACTGGTAACATAAATTCATGAAGGAGGGTGGATGTGGAATACAACAGAGAATGGTGGGGATTGTGGCAAACGAAAGCAGGTGCAAAGTCCGAAGGTGTTCAAATTTTTAAAAAATGATGTTTTAAATATTGGGGGGGGGGCGGGGAGAATAAAATACATGTGCTGAGCAATTTCAGCAATCCCTGGCCTGTATCAATATTTTATCAGTTTACTGGATACTGATTTGCTTTTCAGAATCTCATTTTGGCCTTCTTTCAGTTGAATATGAGATGAGTTGCAGTGCCTGAGGAAAGAGGAGAGAGAAGGATGTAGAGGAGGAAATCCACAGAGACAGAGGCACAATGGGGAAATCACAGGCAGCTGTATCAACAGATGCACGTAGGCAGTAAAACTTAAGAAACCTGTGTTTCAGTCGGGGGATCACTTTTTTCTACGGATCAGGCCCTTTCCCGTGGAGCTATTTGCAAGAACCGGTTGGGGGGGGGGGGAGTGCATCACAGTGATTCAAGAGAGAAGCACGTGGGCCTTGCTCTGTGCAAATGTCACTGCATCACGTGGGCAGGGGTCACTGCCACTGTTACAGGGGCAACAAGGAGAAAAGGAACCAAACAAAGAGGCTGATTAAGACTAAGGGCACAGATGTGCATTCATGCGCGTGTTTGGCATCCCAGCATTCACTTTTCTCATTTAAATCTGCCAGAGGCAAAACTGCCACTTGTCTCAAATTATGATGGAAATTTCACCTCCCCCCACAGGAAATTAAGCATAATTAAATAATTTCAACTTACCCCAAATTTTCAGAAACTACTCGAAACAAACATGTATACACTCCTTTGTCCTGTCTCCTTTTTAGGGGGTGGAGGGGTTGTTTTGGTCTTTTGCATCTCAACTGGGACAGGAAAAATAAAATACATGGATGTCTGGATTAAGATGGAGAAAATCCTACCAAGGGTATTTCCTTGTCCCATTCTAGTGGCTTACAGAACCACGCTTTGGGACTTGAAAGGACATAAAAAGGATGCTAGTTACCATTTCTGTGGTTTTTGAGGTCCGAGGGCCTGAGTTTTATACCTTTATCCTAGTTGTCTCTACAGCTGGGACATGAGCAGGTATCAGAATATGGAATCATGTCAGACCAAGGACAGAAACCAAGATCTCTGCTGAGATTTTGTTGGAATAAAAATTAAAAGGGGATTTATTCCATTGCTAAAAACTGATAATGGTGATATGATTATGATGGAGAAAGTAAGGTCGGCAATTCTACAGTATTATTAACAGTTCCAGAAACATTTACAGAATCCCTTCTGCATCATCCCACACTGGGTTTTAAGGGATGTAAGCCCTGTGAGGGCAGAGACATCATATCTGTCTTGTACATCATTAGATGAGTGGTGGATGGATGGATGGAAGGAAGGAAGGAAGGAAGGAAGGAAGGATAAATAAACAAGGAGGAAGGAAGGAAGGAAGGAATGAATGAATGAATGAATGAATGAATGACATCTTTGAATGATGGATCTTAGCGAAAGAAGAATTCTGAAGAAATCAGTTCTGTGCAGTTTCACAAAACAGAGCAATTTCACAACCCCCAGGAATAGCAATGTCTACTTCCCTTTGATGGTGTATGTGAATGTTCTTATGGATAAAAGGAAACATAATATGACAAACTGGAAAGAGTCCTGGGCTGGTGGCCAAGAGACTCTGAGTTGAGATTTTGGTTCTTTTTTTATTGATAGGTTCCACAGGGAATAGTAAGAAATAGGCCTTCAGCCTCATTACAGTTTATTTTGTTTAACCGAAATAGCCCCAATTTCCTTTGTTTTCCTACATAAAATTATGTATACATTTAAATAAGCACTTTGGACCTTATTCAACAGGTCCGTAGTTTTTCAACTGTTACCACATTGGGAGGAAGACAGTGGAGCAGAGGGGTGGAATTCCAGGCCCCTCCAGACCCTTCTGACCACAGCAGCACCATTTTTATCTGTTTCCAATACTGGTGTTGTATGCATGATTTTCCTTGAAAACAGGGATCAGGTTTCTTCTTCTTCTTATTGTTTAAAATTAAGTCTGAAACCATAGCTAACGCCAAAGTACAGTGGAGCCAAGACATCTAAATCCCAAGAAGCCACTTCTGTCAAAAGATTATTCAAAATATTGCAAAGCGGCTTAAAATGGTTGCCCTCGTATGAGTACCACAGTGCATATGGCATGAAGAAGGGCATGCAGACTCAATCAACAGAGGAAAAAAAACCTATAAATATCAGGTGATAAGAGGAGAAAGTTCCAACCCCTTTTGATTCTCAGAATATTACTTAGTGAAGGTTTGCTGATGACAAAGGAGCTGACATTGCAGAAAGGAAATGATGTGTGATGGTTTCATTGCCCTTCTGATCCTCAGCAGTTTTCTCACACTGAGTTGTATGTCATGTACCCCTTCTTGACAGATCTGCCTCGAGTTCTGAAGTCATGGTATTCCTAGTTTTCAGCGGGAATATCCTAAAAGACCTCCATCCTGGAGAACTTTCCTTTTTGGGTGAGTCACTGTGGAACAGTAACCTTAGGAAGATCCAGTCAGCATTAGACAGCAGGAAGCAAGCCACAGGATTTCATCCCAGTTACCCAACCTCAAGACTGGAACGCAGACCAACTGTTGGTGGGGAGGGGGTTACTTAAGGAAAGATTATAGGAGAGTTAAGATGGAGAAGTCTCTAGAAAGCCTGAAGAGTATTTTTAAATACTCCAGTAAAACTAGACATGAGGGGAGTCAGTAAAGACTCTAAATATGGCATTATGCAGCCTGGCATGGCAACCAAGTGTGAACTCTGCACGGGGCCTTGGTATTCTGGCTCAGCCACTCATGGTCTGAATGACCTCCGACAAGTTACTCAATCTCTTTGGGCTGAATTCAGATGCTTATCTGTAAAACAGGGACCAAAACGCTATCACTCTACATCACCGAGTATTGTGCAAAACACTCAGAATAAAGGTTGACATATAATAGGCACATTTACCACATAAATGTCTGCTGTTAAGGGTGCCTGCGCGGCTCAGTTATTTGAGTGTCCGACTCTTGGTTTCGGCTCGGGTCATGATCTCAGGGCCATGGGATTGAGCCCCGTGTCGGGCTCTGTGTTCAGTGGGGAGTCTCCTTGAGATTCTCGCCCTCCCTCTCCCTCTGCCCCCCCCACTAGCTCTCTCAAATAAATCTTTTAAAAAACATTCAAAAATATTTAAAAAAAATTCACTGTTACTGCTATTATTATATATCATAGGTCTCCAAAGCCAACAATATATTAAGTTCACTAAACACACTATAAAAAAAGATTTTCGTATGTCCAAAGGAAAATGCTCATTACAGAATTTATGCCATTATGTGATCGTCACGGTTCAAAGAATAAAGATAAAAGAAGATAATTTTAAGGTGACTCTTACTCTGGAGAAGAAGGTCCACCAGACTCCCTTAGCAGGGCTGGGCTTTGAGGACCTGAGCAGGTCAGGTAAGACCAGATTCTATCCACCATGCCTTGCTGGGCTTCTTCCCTGGCTGACCGTGGCTCTGCCAATACCTTCTCTTTCTTCAAATGTCTGTCTGTCTCTCAATGTACAAATAAAAAAATAAATATTTCATAATTTTAATTTTAAAAGTAAAGATTCATGTAAAAAAGTAAAGATTCATTTAAATTTAATTTTAAAAGTAAAGATTCATGTCTCCCTGTCATCTCCTTTAAAGCAGATTAGCGGGGTGGCTGGGTGGCTCAGTCAGTTAAGCATCTGCCTTCGGCTCAAGTCATGATCTCAGGGTCCTGGGATCGAGTCCCACATCGGGCTCCTTGCTCAGCACGGTGTCCGCTTCTCCCTCTCCTTCTTTCCTCTCCCCTGCTCATGCACCCTCTCTCTATATATATACATTATGTGTATATATATATATATTTGCAGTATATATATATATAAACGATTTGCTAAATTTTTCCTAGGTTTCTCTCAAACACAAACCAACCCCAAATAAATAAGTTATCTTGTTTTTGTATGATTCCTGAATATTTTCTCCCACTGTGGGTCTAGGGCCTTTATTACAAAAAAAAGTCCCCTACCCGTAAAGTAAAGCACATCTTCACATACGTTACCGCATTTAATGCTCGTATCAATGGCAGCTAGAAAGCGAGGGAGGGAACATTAGCAAGCCAGGACAAGAATCCAGGCCTTTCAAGGCTGAAACCCAAGTGCTATTCGCTGCCAGGAGTTTCTAAGAGCGAGTAACAATACTGCTGTCAACAGAAAAAGTAACAAGGGTCCTGACACCCAGATCCTTTATTACTTCTTTACCGCAGGGGCCCGTGGAGGGTCCACAGCTACCTTATGAAGAACACAGTAACGTCATCCCCTTTCTAAGGCTCAGGGAGGACAGCTGT